CAAAGAGTGAAAAATTTAAGGGGGTCTGAATACTTTCCGTACCCACTGTATATATATAATATTAATATTATATATTAGTGGTGTCAAAATTAGAGCGTTAATGCAGGAGAAATTTTTTTCAGTTTAACGCGTTAAAAATATTTAACGCAATTAACGCAGGGGCGGGGCTAGGGTTGGCCACCCCACTCACAACTGCTGCTTCTGTCACTTTTTCTCTTGACAAGAAGTGCATTTATTCAGTCGCAGAACGACTGAGAACGGGAGACGTTTCAGACACGCGCTCCTCTTCCACTTCAGCATCAGGCGCGAGTCAAGCGAGCGCGGATACGGTCCTGAGCTCGCAGCGCGTGCTCTTCAATTGCACGCACAAAGGCGCCTGCGCACGCTGTAGCCTGTATCCTTTCATATCAAAGTGCGAAGTAAACTACATGCATGCAATGTCGTGGTCAGTTAAGTCATGAAGTTACCAAAAAGGCGATTAAAGCTGCCTTAAAACTGTGCATGCATGTAATATATTTTATATGAGTCACATTTAAGAACATGTCTCTGAAATGGTTTTCAAAACTGTCCTGGAGCAGCCCAGCACTGTCTCCCTCATCTAACACACCTGATTCAACTCGTCAGCTCATTAATAGAGACTTTAAGACCTGAAGTGGGTCAGAAAAGGTAAAAAGAGTTGAGAGAAAATATGATGTGTGTCAGATCCGCGTCGCGTTCAGCAGCGGCAGCTCTTAAAGTAATAGCAGCCAAAACAACCTAATAACCAGCTGCTATGATGTCTATTAATCAAAGGACAAAGGGAAAAAAAGAGGAAAAAATTACTTTTATAGCTTTAAGGATTAATCAATATTTAATTTATAATTTAGTGTTTGATAACTTCAATTTCTGTATATTTCTGCTGAAGGGCACAGGTAAATATGACATTTATTATAATGTGTTTATGTGAAGTCTGTTTTCAGTTCACTTAAATTAGAAGTTATCCTATGTTTAGGTTCAGTAATTTTACTTTAATGGCAATGTTTAGGTCCTTTTCTATGGCATTTAAGTGAAATAAATGAACATAAATATAGGAGCCTGAATAAAATGCTCATTTTAGATGAAAATTTCAGACAGCACTTAGAGGCTTTTGCATCTGAACTCTTCATACATACATACATACATATATATATATATACTGAATACTTTCCGTACCCACTGTATATATATATTTTTTTTTTACCCAGCTGTGGGAAGCACTGAACCTCACATGTTTGTCGTCCTGCAGGATCCACCCATGATGTTCACAGAGGAGTATCAGACGACGGTCCTGCAGAACTACCACAACGTGTTCGACCAGAAGAGGAAGGAGTTCGTGATTGGAGAGCTGATCTGGAACTTCGCCGACTTCATGACGGCTCAAAGTAGGAAACGACCGCAGCCTTTTCCTTTGCTCTGAACAGGTTTTTCTGGAACACATAGCACACATTAACTAGCACACTGTTCACTCATGCACGCTTTAGATAAGAGAATGAAAACGTGTCCGACGGATCTTTAGTTACCTGTATGGAATCTGCATGCTTTATTTGCACATTTTCTGCTCTGGTTAATAGATGAAACTCAAAGTTTAAAGGAGTAGATGAGTTTGTTTCTTCATCAGATTTGGAGAAATGTAGCATTGCATCAGTGTCTCAGCAATGGATGCTCTGCAGTGAATGGGTGCCGTCAGAATGAGAGTCCAAACAGCTGATAAAAACATCTGGACTGGAGTGCTGTGCATTACTTGTGGATTATTGTGATGTTTTTATCAGCTGTATGGACTCTCATTCTGACGGCACCCATTCACTGCTGAGGATCCATTGCTGAGCAAGTGATGCAATGCTACATTTCTCCAAATCTGATGAAGAAACAAACTCATCTACATCTGGGATGGCCTGAGGGTGAGCACATTTTCAGCACATTTACATTTGTGTGAACTGTTTCTTTAAGGAAAGCATGCATTAATCTCTCTCTCCGTCTCTAGCCATCACTCGAGTGGTTGGGAATAAGAAGGGAATCTTCACTCGGCAGCGTCAGCCCAAAGCCGGAGCGCTTCTGCTGCGAGAGCGATACTGGAGGATCGCCAATGAGACGGGTGTGCTGCCCACCTGGGCCAGGTATCCCTGCCAGTGAGCCGGATTAGCTGCTTCCTGTTCAGGAAAACCAGGTGAAAATGGACTGTTTATCAAGTGCCTTATATGTGCCCCACTGACAATCACACCTGTGGGGAAAACACACAGATCTGTTCTTAAAGGTGTGATTGTGTGATGAATCCATATGCTGTTTGTTCTTTGTAAAGACACTTTATTGTTTTTATTTCAAAAGTCCTGAATCGCAACAACACTATTAAACTGGAACAGGCATATTTTTTCCTAAATGTGCCTTTTTTCAGCCTCTGGGATTCATATTGTGAACGTTTGCAATGATATATTTTTTTGATAATGAGTTAATCTCATGAAACCTGCCATGAACATGTCCAGGTCACATTTCACCTCCATAAATAAAGACACTCAATTTTTTTGTATTGTTTTTATTTCAAAAGTCCTGAATCGCAGCAACACTATTAAACTGGAACAGGCATATTTTTTCCTAAATGTGCCTTTTTTCAGCCTCTGGGATTCATATTGTGAACGTTTGCAATGATATATTTTTTTGATAATGAGTTAATCTCATGAAACCTGCCATGAACATGTCCAGGTCACATTTCACCTCCATAAAAAGAAATTATATTTTGTTTAAAGACCATTAAGCCTATTATAGGACCAGCAATATTTTTTGCATTATTTACATTATAATTAAAACACGTTTCTCCCCAAATTCATTACTGTAATGCAAAAAATACATATATTATTCATTTATATGTGATTGTAATATTTGTTTGCGTTGATGCAGATTTATATATTTTTTTTAATGTATTACGGTAATAACATTATCTAATGAGAATCTAATAAGGATCATCAAGAATGAGAATTGCAAAAAAAAAAAAAAATTATAATAATAATAAAAAAATCTAGATTTATTTTAATGAGAATTTGAGGGGGGGGTCTATTATATTATTCAAATTGTAAAGTAATTATATATTATAGTATTATTTGTTGTATTGCCTTAATGCAGATTTAAATTTTTAAAATAATTGCATTAGAGTAATAAAAATATCTAATGAGAATCTAATAAGGATCATCATTGAGAATAATGAGAATTGCAAAAAAAAAAAAAAATTTGAAGAAAAAATTTCTTTAATTGTCATTTTAAAACAAATGTCAAAAATAAATAAATATCATTTCAGGTTTTTTTTTTTTTTTTTAAGGTGAAATGTGACCAGGATGTGTTTTTTCCCCCACTGGCAGTAGTTTGGTAAACTGTTTTTTTAATTAATTTTAATCAACTTGTAATAATTGGCTCCAGTCTTTCATGACCAAAATATTTCTCATTTTGAGGTGTCTGTGTGTGAGTGACCAGCTGATGATTTTTGTATGACAGTGTACTTTACTGTAATTACTTCACAAGCAATTGAATGAATCCTTCGTTTGTGAACATTCCAGACATTCCCCAGCGATGTCATCAAAATAAATGACATTCCACAAGATCATCCCTGAGATTCATTAATGTTCATGTTATTGTCATCAGATCTTTTGTCTGAAACACACACTGGATGTTAAAGGGACAGTTCAACCAGAAATGAAAATGTGCTGAAAATTTACTCACCTTCAGGTCATCCGAGATGTAGATGAGTTTGTGTCTTCATCAGATTTGGAGAAATGTAGCATTGCATCAGTGTCTCAGTAATGGATGTGAATGGGTGCCGTCAGAATGAGAGTCCAAACAGCTGATAAAAACATCTGAATCCTCTTTTTTTTTTTTTTTCAGTATTTCCAGAAACTCTCCAACTGTTAATACAGCATGCATCATTGCTGTGAATTGTTACCATGGAAACACCGTTACTGCATGCTAGTTTTAGAACGTTTAATTAACAGACGGATGAAGTCTGAGACGAGGCGTGATAAATGTAAAAATACTGGTTCAAAAATAATCACAAGACTTAAAACATTGAGCATGTTGACTAGTGAATCACGTATGATGCAATATTTACTGTCATGACCATGTAAAGCCAATAAAGACAGTAAACTTTAATAATAAATAATATTAATTATTTATTATTAAACTTCCACAAGAAGAAACATGTGCACTAGAAAACGATACGAAAATACTGAGAAAGAACAATTTTTCAAATGAATAAAAAAATTTTTTTGTAAAAGAGATCTTTAGGAAGATGTATTTTAACTATTTTTTGGTCTTAAAAATGTCTAAAAAAACAAATTACACTTGAATTGTCGAATGCATTGCATTGTGGGATATAGTTATTCATGCAGTGAGCTCTAGTTGCACACGCACGTTTGTCATGCATTCAGAATAATTTACATGTACACATCCTACATACTGTATACTTCATAAATAGTGCTGTGGGAAGAGTAATACCGTAGCATGCTACTCCAAACACAGTCTATGTCAATTCTCAACAATTCAGCCCATGGTTTCTCTCATGAGGTCAGAGGTCAAAGGACAAAAGGGCTCAGAGAGGTCAGGGGGAATGTTTTAATGGCAGATCAAATCCACACAACGACACGCGTTCATGTTCACTGCAGTGTCTCCTCCAGCTGATTCCCAGACACAGAATTCCTCCGAAACACGGCACCCATGTAAGAAAATACAGCATTTTTTACTTATATTTGGCAAATACAGAAGCAAACCGAAACACAGCTTATTCTCCACAAACAAAATACCCCAAAAAGGTACGATTGGAAATAAAAACCGACACCAAACACGACATCTCCAATCCGTCTGTTTCTCATGTCTGTTCATCTGCTAAAATATCTATAACGTTAACAGTCTGTACATCTACAGCGGCGCGTCGTCATCAAGACGCCCCAACAATTACATCAGGAAATAAAAAGAACTTGCTTACTATCTGAAACTCACATTGTGCGATTGAAGAAAATATGAGTCTAAAATAATACAACATGAGATACAAGGAACAACCAAATGATTTAGGTTTATAGTTTTTGCTTTTTAAAAGGTGAGTTATGAGACAATAACACCGCAAATATTTCAGTGGTCACCAATCTGTCTTAACTTACCCGTATAGAGGCAAGCAGACAGACTTAACTCCAAACTTCAAGGCCCAGTGGACATACAGAAGGCACTTTTAATGAATTTAACGTTGTGAAGGCAACCCTTTTACGACATTTTTGGGGGTCTTGTCATTCCTTGTTGTCATTTGAATCGGATATAAATGTAATATGCAATAAAACATTGGGTTTTTTTTCCCCAAAAGCCTTAGATGTCATCTTGTTTAAAGTCAACATAACATCAAAACCGACTATTTACTTTCTTAATGCACTGCAAAAATGATTTTCTTACTTAGTATTTTGTCTTAATTTAGTCATTTTCCAGTACAACACATTCTTAAATTAAGATATATTTAGCAAAATGAACAAAGCACCAAAACTAAATGAGTTTTTACTTAAAACAAGAAAAATATCTGCCAATGGGATCAGAAAAATAAACTTAATTAAAAAAAAAAAAAAATTCGGACCCGTTTGGCAGATATTATTTTCTTGTATAAAGCAAAAACTTCATTTTGATCTTTTTTTTTTTTTTTCTCAGGAAACAAGACTTAATATCTTATGTTGCTTCTCAAGTAAATGTATCTTGATTTATGAATGTTTAGATATTTGCACTGGAAAACAAGACAAAAATACTGAGTACTAAAATCTTTTTTTTTTTGCTACTCTAACAATTCACATTATTACAATGTTCATAATCTTTCGCCAATGCACAATAACTTGAAACGCACATAAAACGACTTAAGATCATGTTGCTCGGGTTATTGGTTAATAAAAAATAAATATTTACACAATCAGATCCTTTTCACAATCCAATTCACAATAAATATCCATTTTCACTCTGAAACACATCACATTCTCAAGTAAAAAGGGTTGCAAACTCTTTCATGTTGACTTTAATTGGAGAAATTATGTTCTGGCATCATAATTAGTCTGTGTGAAATACATAAAACCAACAGAACACGCGACTAATGTACAAATCACATCAACTCTGCTGTAGAATTGAGCTGCGAAACTCCAACGACCATTCGATTTGTTCGCAAGTTTGGCTGAAAACACGTTACGAAGATCCCAGTTCAGCCACACAGACAAAGACTGCTTCACAAAAGCATCATCAACTAAAGAAAGGCCAATAAATGAAACGGTCAACAACACCAAGCCATAGAGTTTAGTTTGGGTAGAAACCATTTTTAAATAGTTGTGAGTGAAAACAAGACTGTGAGGAGCAAACTTACAGATTCATATCTACTGTTTTTCAGTAAACAATGAATTTTCAATGTTTTGTCAACTGAACAATCACTCACAGCCTCATTTTCATTCACGTCATTTCAAGTTCACAATGTCAATTCAATTCAATTAACTCAGCACATTTGCATGTTCCAGTAGCTCCCATCATCTACACAATGCACACCTGATAGCCATTCGAAGACTGAAATTAGCTCAACAACTGGGTTGGATAGTTGGTAAATTCAGATCAAGTTTTCATTGTGAACTGACAAAATAATGACTTTCAATGTCTAATACGACAGCGCAAGTGCTGATATAAAACAAACTCTTAAAAATAAAGGTTTCAAAAGGGGGGTGGTTTTTTGGGTTCCCCAAAGAACCTTTCAATTATTTTTTTCATAGTCTGAAGAACATTTTAATATTTCATTTTCATTATAAAGAACCTTTTGTGGAATGGAAAGTTTCCATTTATGTTGAAGGTTCTTTAAGGAACCATCAATGCCAACAAAAACCTTTATTTTTTTAAGTGTATCAGTGATATTGTGGATCCAAATGCACACACGGAAAACTCTGACGCACTTTGACACCAAATAAAACTTAAAGAGGGACTAAAACTGGCAGGTTTTGACTGTTCTGTTGCATCCGTTGACATCAAAACAGCTCGAGACAAATACTGAGAGGTAGAAGTGAAGGGGATCAAGAATTGTGGGTACTTGTAATATCATGGAAAGGCCAAGGTGATGTTTCAGGTCAAGGGGTTTCTGGGTAACAGAAGTATGGTAAATTACATTACAGTAGTACAGTAGATGCAGCTCATGTGATGTCTCTCATACCATTCACGTGAAAATCACCAACTAAACACAAAAATGATAAGAAACGGTAGCTTTGAGTGTGATGGACTGGCCCAGTGGTTCTCAATTGCAGTCCTCGCGTACCACCGCTCTGCACATTTTGTATGCATCTCTTATCACTTCAGATGTTTGTTCTATTTGACCGCAAGTACCCTGTGAAGTGGACATCACCGGATATTCTGTCATGACTCCAGTTCGAAGGGAGCGTATATGTTCCACTCATAGGGCATTAAAGTGTGCGAGACGTGAATTTAAATTGCATTGCATCACTTGCTCAGCAATGGA